AGATTTCATCGTTGCTCTTCTTGCTTGAGAGCTGTTGCATGCACTGTAAGTCTTTGTCCAAGCCAACTTTCCTCTCCTCGGTCTTCAGAGCAAGCAGAGCCTTCCTTTTTTCTTCAAGAACCTTCTCATACTCTTCTAATGTCATCTCCTATTAATAAAGGAGAAGGTTTTATGAAAACTAGCATAGAACATGAAAACACAGAATAGTTAAGGCAACAAAAACAGAAAGTTGAATTTCAATGTGCACCGGAGGCAGTCATAACAAACTTCAATTGAGGCATGATATCGTTACAGTACTGTGATTTCACCACATGGCTTGAAAAATCAATCTGGGTAAATGTTTCGGAGTTTTGACTTTCAGATGAAACCAACTGAATTTCATGCTGTGACTGAAAAAGTTGACAAAAAATCAGTCTATGCATCCAATGATTCTAATTACACAAAACTTGATCTGAAGGGTGATTAATCAATGTAAGCAACTTTTAATTCGACTAATCTCTTTAATCAAACTTTTAGTTGTAGAATATGCCAAGGTTAAGTAAACAACTGCAACAGAAGCTGCTAATGTATGTAAAGCACAAAAAAAGGTGCTTGAATAGAAATATCTAGATCAAAAGTCGCACTTCAAAAATAAGTAATCAAGGCCCTTCCATCTGTGGTGTTTCCCAGCCATATGAGTTCAAATCTACATGTATAAGAAAAAAATTTAACCAACAAACATTTAAGATTTTGTCAGTGACTTCCCCAGGGAAGCATAAACTGAATCTTAAATGCAATTGCGTACTAAATAAGCAAGCACAACATCATTTTCACTAAACTTGTATGAAACAGGAGGCCCTTGATTGGTAATATTTAACACCAAGTTAAAAATTCATCATTTGCACAAATCAGGGATTATATACAGGAAACTTGGAGAAGGATCTTGCCAAAATTTAGAAGATGAAATTAAACATCATGCAAAAAAATTTAAAATAGTTCTGATCCTTCTATATTCATAGCAGATAATAAATCCTGTCTTACTAATCCAGCTTGACAGAAATACCTCTGAAAAATAAAAATATAACAATTGAAGTTCTAGATGATGGAACTTTTCTGTTTGTTTATAAAGAAAACTCAAGATATGACGAGGTCCAGAAGGAACAATTTACCTTCTCTTCTGGCTCCTTCTCTTTCTCTTCTGGCTCTTTCTCAGCAGTGTCCTTATTGGCATCTGCAGCATTCTCCTCTCCTTGCTGCTTCTCAGTTATAACATTCTTCTCATTGTCAACAACAGGATCTTCAGTCTCCCTGAATTCAGTTAAACAAGTAAACATACATGTGAGCATAGCTAAGTTATAGCATATATAATTACATTTTCAAAAACGCTGGGAGTATAAAGACAGAAACTCACGGAACAATTTCATCAGTAGGGGTTCCCCAGTTACCACGGCCGGACCCTTCACGCTTAATCTCATTCCTGATACAATGTGGAATAAAAATCCTCATGCCAAGTGATGAAGGAAATTTTATGGTTAACACAGAATACATAAAAATGAATATTTCAGTAACAAAATACTAACCCGCGACCAGTGCCGCTGTGCCGTTCATACAACCTTCGAGGGCGTTCACCTTCTCTATCTTCCCCATTACTATAACCGCCACGGCGACTGCCACGGAAACCACCACGAGGTGCACCATATCCGCGTTTCTCGGTAGCCTCCCCATCTTCAGATGGTCTGGATCGTCCGGAGAATCCATTGCCAGTGAAGGAAGTTTCATTGTTATTTGAATCTCTGTTAAATCCACCACTGCCACCGCGACCACGCCCGCGTCCATACCCACGTCCTCCTCCACGGCCACCTTCATTCTTTGCTTCCCTCACTGGTTGAGAAGAAAAAAAAAACATCAGTAATAAAAACATTTTATGAAAATCCTACGATAATTTGTTTCAGCTGTCATCCTGTGCTATGATTCAGTGAAATAACAAAGATCTAACAAAACATATAAACAGAGAATTTACTTTCAAAATACATGGAAAAAAGTAAACCATGTAAAGTGTAGAGAAAACAAAAACTGACCAGAAGAAACCTAGCAGGACTACATGTGTAGAGTCAATCAACAATTTTGTCTTCCAACAACCAGAACAAGATTAACCAATCATCTAGAACTTCAACACTAACTAACCAGCATTGCAATGATAAGTAAGCAAACAGGTGTACCAGCTAAAAAACCAACACTCTAGCAAACTAAGGTTAGAAAACTAAGTTAATCCAAAAACTCATCAAATAGAAACATTTTAAAAGACAACATTATGAAGCTTTTGTTGACTGTTGTTTCTCGTTCAATTCCAGACAAGGTGATGTTTGAAAGAATAATACAGAATCACTGTGTTTTTTGTTGTTGTTTTAAATACAGAGATTAGACAAATTTCTCCTAAATCCAAATTTAAAAACAAAAAAAACATACAAAGCCCATTTCAAGTAATGATAGGCACCAACAGATTCAATAAACATGTCCTCATTTTCTTCTATTTCCTCAACAACCAGAACTATCTAACACTAGTAGGCTTACTCGAAGAAAAATCAAGTTGAAACAACTATTCAATCAACAATTTCTATAAATTATCATCCTTTCTTTCATTTGCTATCATTCAAACAGAACAAAGAAACAAAATGAAAACAATCTACATTAAAAAAAATCTCAAACCTTGAAACACCTTCAAAGCACGTTTCTTGGTTTATATAGACCAAAAGTACCAGATTAAATCAAAAGATAAAGCAGGGTCACTAAATCAAAGCTCACCAGCTTGAGCAGGGGGAGCAGGCCTGGAGGGGAGCTTGGCAGGCTGAGAAGTAGGAGCAGCTGGCTTTTCAACCTTCTTGGGCTTCTCAGCTGCCTTAAGCTGAGCGGCGGCAACGAGCTGAGAAAGGTCCTCATTGTTGTCGTCGTCACCAAGGATATCAAAAGGGTTCGCGGTTGCCATTTCTCTCTTTGAGTTTCTGATGAGCACAGATAATTATAGAGTCCTTTAGCTTGTTTTCTTTAAAATAGCAACCAAGAGACCCTTATTGATTGCTTAAATCCATTGCTGACTGATAGTAGTTTAGGGTAGGTGTGTCTGGGAGGCGAGAAGATGAGTTAGCAAGGAGATTGAGCGGTGTTGGGAAACCCTAGCCAATGCGGCAGAGAGAATATGGGAGTTTGGGGAGGGAGAAACCTGGTCCTTAAAAACCCTAGTATGTGATGTTAGTGTATGGAAGGGTGTACGTTTATCATGTGGGCTTGCTGTCTCTGTTTATCTTTAGCCCTGGCGATGTCAGCAGTGGACCTATTGGACACGATTTTTGTTAGTTTCTTGATTTTTTTAGATAGTTATGCGTATCTAAGTGAATAATATGGTATGATTATTTTATTAATTGCATTCTAAATTTATTGAGTTTGTTGACATGCTTTCAATATTCTCAGAGTTTTAATAGTTAAAATAATTTGGCAATGTATTAGTATATATGTTTAGGAGTTGATGGAACCATTGGGAAACTTTCCTTGATCCTGGTCTCTCTTTGCGGATAATATGATAATATTAGGCCGGAAAGGTATATACAAATAACTAATGAAAAAGTAATTTGAATAGGTAGACACCTTCACATATAAGTTGTCAACATAAATACTAGTAAATTATATATAAAAAAACTAGATTGTTTAACTGAATCAACTAAAAAAAACTTAATCCAATCCTAGAGTTCGCTCAACTTGATCAAGTCAAATTAAATTTTATGTTGGGAATATTTTGATCATAATCAAATTAAGTTTAAAAAAATCAATCAAGTTTAATATAAATTCAACTAAATTTAATTTGATCTGGTTAAACCAAATCTAGAATAGTTAAATCAAGTTTGAAAAAAATTAAACCATGTCTAATATAGGCTCGCTCGATTGATTACGTTAAATTGAGTTAATAGGCTTAACATAAATATGCACCACATCTTCTTTTTTTTAACCTTTGTTATCAAGATTGTTTTAAAAAAATTATTTTTATTGTCCAAGGTTTAGTAAAGATAAAATAAGATCAAATTAAATTAAATTTTAGAAATTAATAATTTATTTTTGAACAATTTCATTATTGTTAGTTTTTTCCTCTTAATTAGATATAAGGCCATTTGCATGATATTAGTACCGGGATGCTTTATAAAGTTAGTGTTGTGCCAAGGGTGCAATGGTGAGTGGAAAAAAAACAAATTATTATGTTAGTATTTGTTATTACATTGAGCTCTTCTTTTCCCTTTAAAAGAAAAGGACTCGTCGGCCGATGTAAAATCAAATTCTATTTCCTCTGTGTTATAGTGGCGTGACAGGGATAGAATGACTCGATCCCAAAGACAGGTGAAAGAAGGATAGTTATATGTAACACGGGACTGAAGCTTCGACATTAAAGATTTTTCTTCGAAAGCGCGTGACTAGGAATGGTGAATTTCTTTTTTCTTTTTGTTTCAACGTAAATAAATAATAATAAAATAGAAATAGTGTTGTCTTTTGAAATGCTTTTTATTTAAAAATATATTAAAATAATATTATATATTTGATATTAATACATTAAAACAATTAAAAACATTATTTTTAAACTAAGACTTTTTTAGAAATACATTCCAACCGCACGGATAAGTATGCTATTATTCTTGATGGATTGCCGACGGCGAAAAGGTCGAAACTCGAAGCCCTTGGTCCTCGACGATTTCTTTTTATGGTCAAGACCACAAAAGACGACGACTTTGGAAAGACAACAAAGAAAATTATTTTGTAAATGTCTAAATTAAAACAACTTACGACGAGGGCTGACCTTATTTTGCGAAAGCAAGGTATTGTTGAATAGATGGATTAACGCAAGGATAATTATGAACAATTAAGACAAAAAAGGACAAGTTTAATGCCCAGAAAATAGTCTTAAAAAAATAGGAAAGTGGTGTGAAACTGTTGCTTTGGTGCTCAAGCAAGTGAAATTTTCAATAAACTTGGCAGGCCAGTTCCATAAGAAAAATCCAGAGGATTTTTTTCAAGTATTTGGTCAAACATTAAATACAATTTTTGCTTTTGAAATTGTCTCTACAATCACTAATCAACGCCTTCTGAGAGAGTTTGTCAGGATGGACTCGGCAAACACCCGGAAGCGGCCAGTCCTTTCCTTTCAAAACTCAAACTCAAGGCCTGTGCCTTGCTTGTATACAATCTCTTCACATTAGATCCCTGTTCATTGAGCAACCTGACTAGACTTCTCTTGGCATTTGCTCTGAACGGACAGTTTGAAGCGATGAACCCGTCAACCAGGTGGAGGTACGCCTCCAAGTCATGGCAACATGCCACGTCAGCATTAGGCTTCAGATAAGGTGACATCTTTGTGTCTACACGTAATTCTGTCCCAACATGTGCATAGGCCAATGGCATGTTGTCATTTAGCTCTTCCACCATGGGTATTCCTGGGACTCTCGTGATAACATCCTGGCTATTCACAATTCTCAACACCTTAACGTTTTTGGCATTAATCTGGTTCGCAAATCCTTTGTTGCCGACACGAGGACCACCAAAGGAGAAAACTGCGATTGGTGGCACTTGCGGCGCACATGTACTTAATTCATCGCCTACTAGCAGAGCCAAGGCAGCACCGAGGCTGTGTCCTGTGACTGTAATGCTTAAGGTCTCACCCCTGTATAACTCCATAAGCCTTCTCACCTCTTGAACCACAGACTGGGATAAACTAGGCACGTTAGCCCCTCCAGTTTTATACAAGCTCAAGAACCCGCATTCCACCTTCGGTTGGATTTCAGTCGGGTCGTGCTCTCCAGGCGTTTCAACTAACTGGGCCCTCATATTCTCTGCCCATTCAAGACATGTAGAAGTCCCCCGCAATGCGATAACGATATCCCTCCTTCCTAATCGTTGGATCTCCCTCCGGTCCTCGCATACGGCAACATACCCGATCCAACTAGACCGCTGGGTCATCCACCCAAGATCCGGTGCCACATCGTCCACCCACTTTGGCAACCCAACCGAGGAAGTCGCATAAAGACTCCTCGTCACTCTGTAGGACCTATCGGGAAGTGCCACCTGTTGGGGTAATGGAGGTTTCGCTGCTGACATGGCAGGATTGGAATGAAAAGCATGATAGGATGCTTGGACAAACTCTCCGTATCTCACAACTTCTCGCCGGAGATTCTCGTCGAGTGGGTCAAGAAGTCCCTTCCAATCATTGCTACCGTGATACTCTCGCCACCGAGGACCAAGATGATTCCTCGGAGAATACTCCTCTGTCTTAGATAACAAACGTTGAAGCCTGTTTAGATGTCTAGGTGACATTTCCTCAGCTGCTTTCATTGCAGGCCAAAATCTAAACGAATTAAGACGTTCTAATAAGTTCTTCCCCCTGTTATTCTCCAAGGACCCGTCATTAGAAATTCTGTGAACTGGTTGCGAGGCAGTTTGGTTAATTGGTTCTGGGACTTGTTTCTGGAGTAGTTTTTCAAGATTTGCTAGGTGTTTTTTTGCTTGCCCGGTTGTTGATGATGATGTACTGGAAAAAGTTAAAGGAGGAGTTATTGTTGAGGTGGGTTTTAGCATAGAGTGTTGGCGTTTGAAGCTGGCACGTTTGGCCTGAAAGAGATGCAGCTTGTGGGCTGGAAGCGTTGAGCTAACCTGTAAAGCCATTGAGAGAGAGAGAGAGAGAGTTGATGCGAGATATGAGCACTCAAAAGACAACAGCCGCTGCTACTTGAACCGAGTAACATTGATTTGATCAACAGCCACTGCTATATATAGAGGCTGGTTCTCTGAATACCCTCCAACTAGTATAAAATTACATAGACAACCTTATTGTTGAAAACAAATAATATCAGAGCCACATGGTTACATCAAGGGTATGATCGGAAAGAGGGTAAAAAATTACTGACCACGTCTCACATGCATGCTACGCGTTTCAAGTTAGTTTCGTTTAGAAAAGAAAGTCAGCATCGTCAAAGTCCGCAACGAGTGAGTATAAAATTAAAAGTGAAGAACAGGCTACTTTTCTCTATCAGCCAGCGAAAAAATCATATTAAAAGCAAAATTATGTTACCGAGATCATGAGGACATTTCTTAAAAATAATATTAATCATAAGTTTATAATTAATTTACAACATAATAAATTAGTATATGTATTTTAATATTTTCTATAGACATTGATTATCAAACTCGAGAAAAAAAATTCTTCCTCATAAATCGACCCAGAGGGACAATTCAACAACTTTGGGCCCCCTGATGGCTGTACCATGTATACTGATTAAAAACGAAAATAATAAATTAAAAGAAAAGGAAGAAAACGTAAAATTTTGATCGGACACCTGGTGGGTGAAATATTAAAGTACGCTGTACGGACAGGCGGCCAGCTGCGTCAATGTGAAATGTAGTATTTTATTGATACTTAATTTTTACCTAATGTTTTGTTATTAATATATACCTAAATACTTGCCTTCATCCTTCCTACATCTAACCTTGGTTGTCAAGACACATAAACAGGTGTTTTTTATCGACATATTTATTTTTGTATGTTAAAAATTATTTTAATGTGTTGGTATTAAAAATATTTTTTAAAAAATAAAAAAATTATTTTAATATATTTTAAAATAAAAAATATTTTAAATAACAACAACTATTATACTTTCAGATACCTTTGAATTTGTTAATTATATCCTAGTTTGTCAAAGAATGTTAGATTAAATTCTGCTCATATTAAAAATAAATTAGGAGAGAGTGAGATTAAACCTTTTCCCTTGTAATTTACAATCCATAAAAAGAAAAAAAATGAAAGAAAATCCCTGCCCATCATATAATTGAGGATACAAATTAACCATCATGTATTTAAAACCCGTATGTTTTTACATTTCAAATGTATTTTTTTAAAAAATATTTACACGTGGTTGCAATCTCCCACTAACTTTGGAACGTATGAACCCTAACATATCTCTATTCTTAAATGTTATTAAATATCGTTATTAAACTTTTCTTCTTCTTCCATTATTAATTTGCACTCGTCTAACCTTATGTACAAGGCAAATAATAATAATGTTTCTCGGATGCTGTGAAATCACAAAGACTGTAAAAAAATTGAAAACTTGATTAAAAAAAAAAGTTCATCCTTAATTAGGAAACATTATAAAAAAAATTATATCCAAAATATCTTCAGTTTTTTTTAACATCATTTTTATTAATAAGAAAGATTTTAAACTTAAGACGTGATTGTACCTGGGGTCTTGGAGTAAAATTCGGTTCAAATGGTGTTTTTTTAAGAAATATTTTTTATTTTTTTCTGTTTTGGTTTTTTTAAGAAATATTTTTTATTTTTTTATGTTTTGAATTATTTTGATTTTTTAATTTTAAAAATATTTTTTAAAAAAATAAAAAAAATATTATTTTAATATATTTTAACACAAAAAATACTTAAAAAAACAACACAACCACCCTACAATACAGTCACTTACTGTTTCTTGCTATGACTATTGTAAAGGAGCCATTACTATTACTATAGTTGTTATCCAAACGTGCTAGCTATTACATTTTTGCGAAGATTTTCCCGTGGTTTTCTCTTTCAATGTCAAAGATTTAAAAATAACAAAATAAATTTTTAAACAAAAATAATTTTTTGTGTAAATTTTATATGAGCCATGTGATTTTCCTGTCCTTTACAATATCATCCTCTCTTTTTAAATTTATTTTTTAAAAATAAATACTACCTCTCGACCATTAAATAGAAAACAAAAGGATAAAAAAATCAATAAAACAAGTAAAAAATAAAAATAAAAATGTTAATTTTAGTATTCATATAAATAATATTTTCACTCTATTTGTTTTTAATGTATAGCATGATGTTAGATGGATAAGACACGCTTATATGTATATCAATTACTATCTATATCAAGAAGGAGCATAATATTTATTTATTTTAAAATTGAATTAAAAAATAAAAAATAAAACTTTCTATTTAAATGCAATATTTCTCCACCCTAAAAATTAAAGAGCTGGTTTTTTAGTTGTTTAATAAGCCTATGAAACATATTTTAAAGATTTTTTTACAGTTTTTTACATAATTTTTTCATTGTTCGATTTTAACAATATAAAAGATTAAAATTATTTTTGGATATTTAATTAGTTAATGTCATATATGTAATTTTTTTGAATAGAAGAATTTGTGATATTGTGAATGATCTCTATGATTTGATATTAAAAAATCGTCAGTAATCTTGGTGCTCGACAAGCTTGAGATGTGATTGTACGTGGGGACATAACTTGTTGGCTTTTCTATGTACTGCTTCTTGATGCAACCACTGTGAAAGAGACATTACCTGCTGTAGTTGTTACTAAAACGTGCAAAAATATTATATTTCTTGTAATGTTGGATGGACAAGACACCATTATATATACAAGGAGCTTTTTAAAAATACAGTAATACTTACTTTATAAAAAATAGAATCAAAAAATTAAAAAAATTATTTAAATACAAGAATTTCTCTATCCAGAAATTTATTTATTTTTACTTTTTAAATTTATATTAAGTCATATTAAGTCTATGAAACATATTTTAGAGGTTTTACACAGTTTTACTTTGTAGATTTTCAAATACAGAAAAATACAAAAACAATATAATTTTTCATTTTATATACAAATATTTTTAGCAATGTAAAGTACTAAAATTATTTTTTTATATTTTAATATTTATTTGGTGTTTTTAATTTTTTTTATAAATCTAATAACGTAACTTTTTCATAATAATTTTTTATTTGAATGAAATAAAATTAATACTAAAAAAACATAATTATAAATACAAAAATATCAAGATAAAATTATGGCTTTTATTTTTATGAAAAATAGTCACTGTCTTGATATTTTTTTTTTGTGAAAAAATCTTTGTTTTTAACAGATAAATATATTTTTATTGAAAAAGAAAAACGAAAAAAGAAAAAAATAGTTTTATTTTACTCAACACACCCTAAATTCTCGATAATATGAAAATATTATTAAAACAATATAATTGTACCAAAAGATACAGAAGGTAAAGATTCCCACTTGCCAGGAAATATTCGAGACACGCGAGATTTGTCTGGTTGTCGAAGAAAAGAAAACATCACATGGAAAAAACGCTACTCTTTTTTCGCTTCTTCTCGCTCATCAAAAGGAACCGAGTACAGAATAAAACAGAAGCTAAAACGCGTAGGAGTTCCACTTTGATTTTATATATAAATTAGGTTGGATTGGTATAGTGAAATAATTTTTTTATTTTTGAGTAAAGAAAATTTAAACCAGGTTTGTTTGATTTTTTTTTTAATTTAGTAGTCATTTAATTTTATTTTTGTTTGGAGGGAGGATTTAACATGGTAAAAATATTATTTAACCTCCAGAGCATATAAAAGTTAAAACTTTTAACAAAGAGCTTTCTTTATTTTTCATAGGCGTATTTTATCTTCAAAATCAAAAAAAATATTAAATTTTTAGATAAGGATGTTTTATGTTTTTTTACTCTTTTTATATATATAAAAAAATATTTTTAATCTTAGAGAAGATAAAAAGAAGCTCTATCTTTAGAAATTTTTTGATATTTTCATATAGATATTCTTTGTCATTAAAATGATCATGAGAAGTGTTTTAATATTTTTCAAGTTTTTTTAATTTTTTAATCAAAAAATTATTTGCATCTACTCTACACATGACATTCATAAAAATATTATTTTACTTCTAAAGCCAATAAAATTTAAAACTTTTAACTAATAGCTTTCTTTACTTTTCACAGGCTTCATCACAGTAAAAATATTTTTTTATCTTCAAAATCAAAAAAATATTAAGTTACTAAATAAGGATGTTTCAGGTTTATTTTACTTTTTATATACAATAAGAAGAACATTTTTAATCTCAGGGAAGACAAAAAAAAGCTCTGTCTTTAGAAATATTTTGGTATTTTTAAATAGATATTCTGTGTCTTTAAGATGGTCACGAGAGATGTTTTAATATTTTTCAAGTTTTTTTTTTAAAAATAATCAAAAAATTATTGATACATGCTCTATACATATTAGTGAATGAATAATGTTTGTGCGTGGCGCTTATCAAATCACCCTATTATCAAATCTAGCCATTTCCGGTCTTCCCTTTCACATGCTATGGCTGTACCGTGTAAACTAGTTAAAAATAAAAATAATAAATTAAAATAAAAGAAAGAAAAGATAAAACTTTGTCATGAAATTTTTTTTTTAATAATTCGAGGTTTCCGACCCTTACATGTATAACGTCTAATTTCTAAATTTATTAAATACTTTATAAATTTAATAGATAAATAAGGCACTACAAAAATAACACACACGCGCGCGCACACATATATATACAATCAATTTGAGTGCAAAGAAAAAAAAATTTCCTTACTAAACCATGAACTAGAGCGCTTATCATGGAGATTTTTTTAAAAAATCAACATGAATATCTGGGTCAGTTTGCAGGTATCACGATTAATTTTACGAGTCTTGAAGTTAATAACTATATAAATTTCTAATAATTATTATATAAACAACTAAATATTTAAATTTAAAACCACAAAAAAAATAAACTCTTCAATCTCAAATTCTCACCATTTAACTACCATCCAGATGGTTACTTATCGTACATCTTATGGGTGAAATATTAAACAACGCTGTATGGGCAAGAGACCATCCGTGTCAATGTGAAATGTAATATTTTATTGAAACTTAATTTTTACCTAATGT